TTCTGCACCACCTCTAGCTGGACTGTAGGTCTGCAGGTCAGATCTGTAGTCTGAGGTAGCTTCTGTGATCAGATTGGAACAAGTACGAGCTTACTTTCTTAAAGTTCATAGTCCAGCTGAATTAGCAGGTATGGTGATGATATTGTGGTGTCGGTGCAGAGCCAGGGAGGCCATGATTCTGCTGTGAGTAGTGCTCTTTTATTAGACACTAGCAGAAAGGCACATACAAAGCACTCAGCTCACAGGGGAGGTCACCATAGCCCATTGTGACCAACCATCAGCACAAAACTCCTACACCCCCAGACACATTAAACCACAAATAAAACACTACACATCTTTATACTAACAAACAATTTAAACAACATCTAAATCAGGAAGCCTCTTCGCACAGCCCTCTGCATGGCCTCCCAAGCCTTTCACAGTTGCATGCAGCCAGTAGTGGATGCCACATAACCCCCTCTTCAAAGGTCGGTCCCAGCGACCCACCACCTTAAGCTTGAGCTGGACGATGGCCGGCTTCCAGCTGTGTGATGTACCTCTCTTGGTGTGCGTGAACACGCCTGGTCACAGTAGGGATGTTGTCGAGGGCAATGAGCTCATTCCAAGACCCCCAGCCAGCAGCTGCCACTGAACCTCCCGGCCGGCATCCGTTTACTCACAGCACTGCCCACACAGTGTCTTTTCTCTCATAACGCCGGCTCACCAACCGCTCCGCTCCATGCTTTCACCGGCTTCCCTCTTGCCAGCACCGCCATCGTGCCTCGCCTTGCCTCCTCCAGCATCGAGCTATGCTACTGACAGCACGCAGGTCTCTTCTAGGCCTACACTTCCGACATAAGGCCTTAACACTGCACCAACTGCCCCCACAGCCCAGAACGGCATGTGCACATCTGTAACCAAACAACAGCAACTTATTTACATCAAATGTCTCTCCTGCCTCCTCACAGGATGCGACATTGCTTGCAGGATGCTACATTATCATATGTTACAGCTTCTACAAGAATACCTGTAGCAAGGGCTGTGCTTGTGGTTTGACCCAGGTCTAATTAGATATGACTGGGAAATAGCAAAAACACATTAATATTATGAGTCACTGCAGTGTAATTTCCAGAGTGGAGAGGCAGTGTGCTGTATTGTTCCAAGAGCAAAGAGATATCAACATCGAGTCAACTGACGTACTCGCACAGCATGCTCACCACGTTTTTGTGCTTAATATTTTTGGAAGCTGCAGTGTGTACCTCAAGACTGTTGGCCGAAGTAAATCATGAGTGGAGCATCCAAAAAGCACAAGGGGGGCAGCATATCCACACAAGGAAGAGTAATCCGAGGAGCCTACGGGATATCGGTATCAGTAACTCTGCAAAGCTACGCAGAAAGCAGAGATGGCGACAGTGTGCTGGCAGAAGGTTCGGCCGCTGAAATTTCAAGTATCTTCTGAAGTCCATGCTGATAGCATCATCAGATATTGCGAGTGGCCCATCATCAGTGCTTGTGGCTTGTTTGCTCACTCTGTCTGGTTTGCTAGTGAATATCAGGCCACTGCCGCTAAGCTTGGACGGTAATGTACAGTAACAACCGCAAGACTTGGTTGACCCCAAAACTGCCCCCATCAGATAAACAGCACTTAAAGCTTTCATCTCTGAGAGAGAGGAGAAAATCAAGCTGCTTCAGATCTGAAAACATCCACAGGTGTTTCTGTCCATCCTTCCACTGTGAGAAGACGACTCAGCGCTGTGGGTCTGAAAGGATGTGTAGCTGTGAAGAAGAACCTCACTGAGAAAAGGAGACGGACACATCAAACAAAGAAGCTGAACAATGGACTGACCACCCCAGAGTCCAGACCTCAACACCACTGAATGTGTTTGATTACTTCAGAAAATGATCAACCAGCTTCTAAGACTGAACTTTGGAGGTGTGTCTGCAGATTCTTTAAAAACTGAAAGTGAGTCTCCTGAAAAGAATGGAAGTTGGAATAAAGGGAAAGAGGCACAGTAAGTACTGAAAAAAATGTTATATTTCATTGTATAATTCTGTGTAATTTTCTGTTGAATATTTTTCTTTACAAAATATATCAATAGAATTCAATTTAGGAGAAACCGTGATGGTGGTGGTGGAGTTGGTGATGCATTGCCCCAATAAATGACTTCCTGACGCCGGGCCTAAAGGCCTACTAACGCCCCTGTGTCCCCTGTTGCCCTTTCAGGAATAGGCTTTTTCTCCTTGTCAGCAACCTCATTGTCTTTTTCCTTTTGAATAAATTCTATGAACCTTCCATCTGATATGAGCGCTGGCCTCTGTCCCGCATTCTGAGGAAGCGATAAAGAAGCCCGGCGAGCAGGAAGCCGACTCCTTTCTCTGAAAGTGCAGCGAGCTGACTTGTTTTGGTAGGATCCTGTTCTCGTTTCCACCCCAAGGGCTCCAGCCCCAGGTTCCTCGTTTCTCATATTTGGGCTTTCCAGCATACCGTTTTCCCTGGACCGTCGGTGCTTTGACGTCAGCCGGCCTTAGCACACCTCGGTCCTCGCAGCATTTTTCGAAAATAAACTCCCCAGATTTCTTGGCTCCCGCTGGAGCCTCGATGGAAAAACTTGGCCCTGGTGTCACTGGATGTTTGGGTAAACAGTCAACTTTGCTTCTTGGGATTCAAATGGCCACGGCAGAGGGAAAAAAATGGCTTCCCTTGAGCATTTTTCAAACCCAGCATTTATCTACCTTTTGTCAAAGCAGGCTTTATTGCTTGTTCTTTTTGTGCTTTTCCAGAGAAGAGGCTACGCTTATGGTGGAAGTCCAAAGAAGAGACCCCACTATTTAATGTGAAATGCATCTGATTTACAGACCATCAAACACAATTCATAGAATGAGCCCTATGCAAAATATCCTCGGCAGTGACCTGACAAGCCGACACGTTTCTCTAGCAGTGTAAATAATGGTACCATAGTGGCCCGTGACGAGTCTCTCTGAACTTGTGGCATCCAGAAAAGAAAGTGGTGGTACACGGTCAAGTTTATGTTTACATAAAGTGGCTTTAAGGAGGGACTTTATTAGGAAGTCGATCTAGTATCAACAGCTAAACCTCTCAAGGGTTGCATCTGTCCGAATGTTGCCTCATCAGGAACCTGTGGATGTTTGGTTTTGATAAGCAAGCGAAATGAAGAACTTTCCATGGCTTTGATTGCATCATTGTTTGGTTTGACAGCCCTTTTTACGTCTTCTGCAGCCTAGAAGAAACACTCCGTCCAGTGTCCATCTGTGGCCATCGACCTACTCATGTACTTCATGTACGGTACTTCTGTGTATAATGTCACAGAACTGAGAACAGCCGTTATTATCTGATGCTGAACTGTGATAGTATTCCAGCATTACCAGCAACCTCTGCCCCAAATCCGGTTAAAGCCAGTCTTGCTGTACACAGCACGCTTCGCTGGTTCTTTGCCTCTGGGTAGTGGAGAGTGTCACGTCTACCTGATCTGTATCTTCTGTGATGGCTGGCTATGGGAGAGAGATTGTAGGGGCGGAGCCTAGCACAGATATCTCTGAGGTCTGACAGAAAGTGTAGTCGTTGCTTCGTATTATAACATAGTGGGGCGGTTACCAAATCCCAGACTCAGATTAAGCCTAAGCCTAGACTAAAAATGTGTTCACCATTAACGCTGCAGTTTTGTTCAAGACTACACTCTTAAAAAAATTCTTTAAGGGTTCTTTAGTGAAGAAAATGGTTCTATATAGAACCATAAATGCTTAAGAACCCTTTGCATGACTAAAGGGTTCTCTGCATCATGAAAGCTTTCTTCATATTGATAGAGAATGTGCTGTAGATGGTTCTATAGAGAACCTTTTTGAAAAAAGGTTCTATATAGCACCAAAAAGAGTTCTTCTACTATATACAAGCTTGACATCGTAACAATAGAAGAACGCTTTGTGGTGCTGTACAGAACCATTTTCTTTATTAAAGAAAACTTGAAGAACCGTCTTTTTGAACGCTAACAGGAATTTTTCGAAATTCCTGCATAATTAAATGGTTAAATGGTAAACAGAGTCATTCAGAGTGGTTTGGTGTGAAATGCTGTTTTAGAGAAGCTGATCCAGTCAGGATTGTTCACAGTGGTGGTGATAGGAACCAGACGTCCACCTCTGAAAGTTTTTACATGAAGTGCCTGAAGCCAGACTCATTGTTTCACGATAGTTCTGAGAAGGTTTTGGCCTAAAACATATATTTTTTAAATCCATTCCTGGCGAAGGGATACATGCAGGGTGTTGTGAGGCAAAATAGTCCCCAGAGAAAACCACTATTTTACCATCATCAACATTATATTATAAAAACTCAGAAGACTCGACTAAAATATGCAGGAATTATGAAAAACTGGTGGAGTTTATAATCCATTTAATCCATGAGTGGAAAACTGGCCCAGTTACCTACATAGATTTTATTTACATTTGAGAATGTTGGACTTAATTACTTTTATTATTGTTTGTTTTTTCTTAACAATGCCACCATAAATAAATTAAAATAAGTAATTAGTCAAATATATACAGGTGTTAAATATTAAATATTCATACAACCCTAAAAGGGGGCCCAAATCTTTTGTCTTGGGGGGCAAAAAGACAAAATGATATACACATAAATAAGTTAGGCAGGTTTCAAATCAAGTAACACTACACTATTGTTTCTAAAACACTTAAAAATATACAATTTTATGGAAGCAAACGTTTAGGCACCCCTGGTCAAATGAAATGGGGGGGAGACCAAAATTTTTATACCACTTTTTATACATTTTGTGTTATTTTGTTCTCCCCGATACATTTCATTAAATAAACAGAAAATGTGCATTAAAATGGGCAGGGGCACACAAACTTTTGCACACAATTGTAGTAAAAAAAAATGTTTGTTCTTTCATTGGTTGGTTGGGGTGGTGCAGGTGGGCCAAATCAAACATCTCAATGGGCCAGCTTCAGCCCTGAAGGAAGAAAAAACATCTGAAATGTCAACGAAGGACCAAACGTTTCCAAAATGTACAGGTTTAATAGGTTCTTTGTGACACATGTACATCACGGCATCACTGAGTTGGACAATTTAGTCAGTTGTTTTTGTGCCGCACAAAATAATTTGAACAATAACAATGGCAATGAATGTTAATTCCACCAGGGAAATCACAGACTACAGTGTGCAGGACCATCGCCATCGCAATGATACAAAGTAAAAAAAAAACAAAAGTATGAGTTTGTAGTTTTTTTATTTTTTCTTAAGTAGCTTCTTGTCATCGTAGGAAATGTTCTGACTACAGAACAGCCTCGTCACTTTCAGTGAACTGTGCTCACGGCTTCCTGCTTTCCGTTTAACAATACAAAGAAAACAGGAAACAAATTCACAAACAAAGCAGTTGTTTTAAACATAATGTTGTTTAAAAAAAAGGAGAGAAAAGGCTAAAACATTATTCTATCGCTTCTCACATACTCTCAGGAAAAAAGCAAACAACGGTTTTCGCTTTCAGTGAGTTGTATGTGGCCGTACCGATAAGATGTGGGAGCTACAGCAAACATAACAGCACATGTGGCCTTATAGGAACCTGGTACGGAACGAGGGAAAAACTACCTGCCTTAATAGATTTCAACTCGGTGATTTAAGACTGAGTGCTGTGTAGGCCAGACGCCACATCCTGTGTTAGCGAGTCTACGCTAACACGCGGAGAAACAAAAGGCATTGACGTCAGCGATTGTTACAGAGAGGCTCGCTGTTGGCATGACTCGGAAATATTCTGTTATTTTTAAAGCGTTTGCTCCAGTTACAGTGAAAGATTTCACTTATATTCTCTGAATTGTTTGCGTAGCCTCTCTAGTTTCTCCCTTGTGTAAGGTTGCATTAGCCTCTCTGGTTGGTACCCTTCTGCTAGATTACTATAAAAGGGCTCCTGCATTTCAGAATAATTCCAAATCATTATATGTTGAGGTTTTTTTTTAAATAGGGTGCTCAGCCCTGGGACAGCTTATCTGCCCATAGTAAAGTGGTTTCAGTGTCGCCATTAAAGTGCTTTCATCACGGGTTCTTTGGATCCTATTTACAACAGATACATTGTACCAGATGTTACAAAATACGAAATACTGTCTCGTGTGAATTAGAAATATCTGAATCAGGTTAATGTACAGGCTTGAGGATAAACAGTTCTATTGCCCCAAATCAAGGAAGACTGATCTAAATATCTCTGAGAAACCTTGGGTTAATCCACGGTTTTGCTTTCAGCATAAAACAGGTCCTTCATATATATGCAAGTGTTTATGAGAGTCACAAAATACACGCTGGTATAGTGAATCCGCGGTACAAAAAAAGTAAATCCGTCCGATTTGTAAGTCAGTAGTTCTCCTTCGTGGCATCTCATGCCAGCACCAAACTCGAGTGTCAGAATCCGAAATTCTGTTTGGCTGTGTTTCTTTCAATCCAGCAGGCGCTGGAGGAACACTGTGGAAACCACGAGTGACTGTAACTGCAGGGAACAGGTCCAACTTTGCAGGTGAGTTCTGCAAACTTCAGCTCACGTCCAAACAAACCACTACCTTCCGCTTGAGCTCTAAGAATAAGAGCAGAGCGGCAGAGCGCCTCACGTCAGTTTCCTGGACCTGTCAAGCTCCCGAGCAGCTTCTTAAGCAGAAGGAGTCATCTCCGTTTCATGGTATAGGCGAATACGGCGTGGTCACAGTGGCCTGCTACGTCTCTGCGGGTGAAGAAGGACCTTGACTGACTGTGTCCTGCTGAGTCACATCCTCCCCTGCATCACCTTCCAGAGTCAATTCAAACTGGAACTTGTCCCCACCGTCGCCCCCGGTCTCAAAGAAAGGAGGAGAGGGGCTCTGGGGGATCATGCTGTGGTACCAGGTCCTGTTTTCCTCCAGAGTGTCCAGAATGTCCTGGGCATCGGGGTGCACCAGGTCAGCCCAGGTCTCCCATAGCGGGTGCACAATGTAGTCGATGAAGCCCACCTGAAGGGAAGACGAGAACATGGTCAGTAAGTGTGAACAGATGAAAGCAGCAAGGTCTCTGGAGTCTTTTCTAGACAGAACTTTCAATTAGAACGTGCCCCACCTGGGACTTCTCCACGGAGGCAGTGTGCTTGTCACACATGGGGCTGATCTCCATGCCACGCTCTCTTTCCCGGTCACCCTGATGGAAGAACTCATCCATGATGCGGTCCGTCCACTGCCGGTAGAGATCCAAAGGCTTAGTGGGGTTGCTAAGGTCGGCACAGTGGACCATGTTACGCAGAACCTGTGTGTGGAAGTGTGAATATTGGTTAGTGAGGGATTCACAGCTGGAGAAAGATGCTGTCAACCGTTTCTCAAGGCACAACTGTAAGTTGGTCACAGGGGCAAAAACTTACTTGTATCCTGTCCGTGTAGTTGTCCAGCAACAACACTCCCGAACTGGTCACTTTCTTGGTCTCCACCATTGTCTTTAGGTCCGCCAGCAAGCTCATGTGTTTGGACATGTCTGTCGCTAGCACCTAAGAGAGAGAAGCAAGGGAACCTTAGCTAAAGGGGCTCTAGGAATCCAAGGAAGACAAATAATGTCCCCAAAAAAGAGAGGGTGCTGTCTCACCATGTCGATGACCATCCTCCTGAGGGTCTGCCGCTGCTTCTTTGAAAGGTTCTGAAAGATGTCGCAGTTCTCCCCTTGCAAGAGCTTGAAGCCAACAGCCAAGTGGTGGTTCTCAAGAACGGATTCATCATTGTACATGAGGGCCAGTTCTGAGTCTGCAGTAGAGAAATAGCAGACATGTTTATGCAATGCTCTCAGTGGACGTGGCTGAACAGAGGAGTAGATAAATAGGACTGAATCTTTGCTCTTTGGTGGATCTCCATCTGGATCTGGTTAGTCTAACTGCATGTGAAAGGAGGGGTGGATGGGGCAAGAGCACTCACTGGTATTAATTAGGAACTGGTTGGAGACCCCTGGGTGGTCCACATCGTGGATAGCTGCTGCAAAGATGGCTGCCAGGATCTCTAGGTCTGTGAAGACCGCCTGAAAATTAGAAAAGACAAAAATTAGAATGTGAGAACGGGTGAATTTTACTCAAAGTGACAAATCTCAAAAAGCTGAACGCTAAGCAGCTGATTCAAACCAGCTTTGGCTTTTGACGTGTTTATTCACCATTGAGTGGAAACATGGACAGTGAGAATGAGCTCCAGACAAACATGGCAGATTGTTTGGGGATTAGTGGAGCTAAACTGTCAGTTTACAAACTATTTAGATTAAGCCCTACAGGTACAGAAGATATGAATACCACGGGTTTAAGATAAAGCCTAAAAAAGCTAACTAAAAATAGACAACCAGGGCTTTCATGCATTCTTAGCGCTTAAAGGCTAATACAGATAAAGTTTCCTGGACTAGAAGAGGCAACAGTATATGATTAACAGGCACTGTTTGAGTAGCATAGATGCTTACATCCAGAGCAGGGGTGGACAGCAGGCTGTGTGTGGATTGTGCGACATCAGCAGCATGCAGACTATTGTGGTAGGCCACATCTGAGTGATAGTGGTCCTCAAGGGTCATCATGTAAGTCACAAAGGTGTCCATTGGGATCCTGAACGTCTTCATCAAGTCTCTTTCCTGCAGGTAATACATGAAGGTTAGCTGAGTTTCACCACATCAAGTCATGTGACTTCATTGGACTAGTGGACTAAAGGCACTGACCTGGAAGATGGCATACATGACGCAGGTAAGTGGACGTTGATGGGAATGTTCTGCAATCCTAAAGATGTTCAAGCCCCACTTGTTAATGTTCTCCAAGTCCTGGCAGGAAGAACAGAGGACAGTTCCATTATTGAGCTCGAGTCAAACTTGCTAAAAGCACGTCATCTTTAAGAATTAGGCACTAGAAAGTGATCTTTAGGAGCTCACCTTGGCAAGCAGGTCTTCCAGATCCGTCTTGACGCCGAACCGGGCCACGCTGCAGCTGCTGGAGATGCCTGGGCCATGTGTGACCTTCCTCACCCCGCTGATCTGAGTCATGAGCTGCTGCTGCTGCTGCCCTGGCTGCCTCCTCTTCCTTTCTCGAGACTTCGGAGTAGGCGACGGGATCTCCAGCTCATTCTGTTTGTCTGTACGGTGGGGAGGGGGAGGTTTTAGTCTATCGTTTATGCTAATGTCCCGAAGCCATCCTTCACACACTCAACCCGCAACTGATTCTGTGACCTTTAAGGCCTTTGTGGCAATTCATGTGGCTAAAAACATCTCTTCACAAAAACATGACATTCAGGACTGAGTCACATGCCATGAAGAAGGTAAACAACGCAGTTACAAGTAAAACGTTGAAATCTCTTTGAAAAGCCATTGACAACCAAGAAAGAAACCCTCATCACTTTGTTCACAAAACAAACGGCCAGCAAACCCAAAGCAAAACAGAGAATTCTGCCTAATGAATTGTTTAGGGGGGGAATTCAAAGAATTACGTCACGCTCGTCAACCGAATGGAGGCATACAGGTAGACTGCATAGGTCCCTCACTACTAGTACTGTTTATGTTTTGCCACTACGCAGCCTTTTCTGATTACCTATCATGTTTCTTTTCACTTTTTCAACTGAAAGAAGCTGATACAAGTAAGTCCTTCTCCAGTCTTTTCCTGTAATCCTGATACTGCTTAGTTCCCACCGCTAGCACAGATTCTTGCAGCTCCTCCTTTGTTTTTCTGTCTGTCAACCTCTTTTCCAGGAAAACAGAAGTTTTCCGTCTGCCTGCCGGCACTGCATATGCATGCTACGCTGCAGAAAACCTGTCCGCTAGCCACTAAGTGACTCAAACAGTGGGCCTCAGGGCTTTGAACTCAAAAGGTGAGGGGAGTACGGTGACCCTTCAGAATCAAACACGGACGTCACTCTCCCCCACTCCTTTACTCTGTCTTTTGTAAGACCCTCTTCTTCTTGTCTTCCTCCTACTTTCCCCTCTGTCCCACACTCACACGCTCTCTCTGCAGGCTGCAGACCAGATCAGACTGGTTTGAGAACAGCGGTGCAGGCAAACCACGAGGCATCCAGCTACCGTACCCCTCCTTTTTCTTTTGCTTCCCTCTCTCACTCTCACTGCAGGGTAGTTATACTAGCTCTTCATCCTGCCTTCTTTGTCTCAGTCCTCATCCCCTCGCCCACTGCGTTATGATTTTTCCCACAGACAGAGTGGATGCATTATAATAAGACTGTAATACTTTTTAAGACACTTTTTCAGTTATTCCGCAGGGGATTCGCACGTGTTGAAAATGCCCAGCCACGCTTGGCTAAGCCTACGGAATGAGCCCCGAAAGATCTGACTCACCTAAGAATGTGTTGGAGATGAACTCGGACACCTGGTTGCCTGAGCGGCTCATCTCCGACAGGTGTGTCAGCTCACGGTTCAACATCCTCTTGAACTGAAACACAAAAGAAAACGAGTCATGTTAAATGCCTTCCATTGTTCTCTTAAAAATTGAGTCCAGTCAACAACACATAACTGAAGCGCCATGTGCCGCACAGGCCTTTAAACCATCTGCCTTAAATACAAAGTTATACATTATTTTTTATAAACATTCCAGTCCATCATAATCAATCAGAATAAGAGCAAATGTTGCAAGCATGCACCCCCACACAAACCTTAATATAACCCCAGGAGACCGAGAGCAGGTAGTTGGCCTCAGGCATGTTGGACGCCCCAGCAGTGGGCACCAACTACCCAGTCTGCACTGCGCTCCTCTCTTGTGGCTACTGGACCACAACGCTGCCTGACACAACTCTCCCAACATGTGGAAAACAACACGCAGCATCCTCGCCATATCCCCTCTGCATTCTGTCACAGATCCAATTCCGGTGCGGAAAAACAAGGCCGAGGTATCCAGGCAGAATTCCGAGGCACAGAGGCTGAAGTAGAGTAGCTCTCCACATTCTACACCGACAGCAAACTGTCTGCCTCAGTCCGCTTCCTTCCTTCTTCTGCAGTCTCTCTCATTCGCTCTCATTCTCCCCCTCTCTCTCTCTCTCCCCCTCTCCATTCCCTGTGCCCTACATCATTCTCCTGCAATTCGCGTGATAGGGAAAAACCCCCTCGCATCCCCTGCACGTGCGTGCAAACAGCCGTACAGCGGAGTCTCTTTCAGGACTTTTTCCACCAAGCTGATAACATCACACAGAGCTACCCTGTAGACTCACATGCGTCAATACGCCTTAGTCAGTCCCAGTAAGCCTTACTCAGTCCAAACCATCCTTCCTTTGTCTGACACCAAAGGAAGCAGATAAGTGATTCATGTGTCCAGTCAGCCAGCTCAGACAGTGAGTCTGTCTCTGAGAGACGCCATGCGCTCCACCTTTCCTCTCTCTATCAACCTCTTTTCCTAGAAAACAGAGTGATGGCCCCTACAGCCTGGCTCTTTGCTCAACTGTCATAAAGAACTAGTGGCAGATCTTTGGCAAAGAAGTGATTATTTTGTGCCACTTTTTACTCCAAAACAAAGTCATGAGTCACAACTCAATCATTTGTGGGCTACAGAATTTGAGTTCTGCACCGACCCTAGTTACATAAATCGCAGCTAATCTGGGAATCTGTTAAACAGAAGTTTATATCAAAGGCACATTTTTATCCCCTCAAAAGACGAACTTACACGCTTGCCTTACAACCTGGAAACATGCCGACATTAAGCAAAGGAACTGTGTTGTTTTCAAGCAGCTGATTTACGCAATTTGGACTAAAGATTTATTTTGATTTTATTCAACAAAAGCCACATAAATTGCATGGAGGTGTATTTTTTTTGTGCCATCAACAACTGTAATTTATGTCAAGGTAACAAAGACAGTATGTACAGAGAATTCTCTGTTTAACCGAAGGGCAACGGAGCAGGTTTACCTCTCGAAAGTATGGAAAACACATCTTTTTCATTCATTTACATAAAAGTGGATATGATCCACAATTCCAGAAACCCCCTCAAGATTAAGCAAAACAAAAACGAAGTTTCTCTATCAGCACATGACTTGGAAAAGTGAGTCTATCTGCAGCGCTATGCGTTCAGGTCAACCATTCAGCTCGAAGAAAACACTCAGAAGTTCTTTTTTTGCGCTGATGAAAACTTGCAATAATGCTCGAACGGTCCTCTAGCTGGAACTCACCTCTGCCCAGCCTTTCAGAACTCCTGACTTTCTCCTTTTCTCAGAGCAGCATAGTCCCATGGTTGCAGGCGCGATGCGTGCTGAGTGTGTGTCGGCCCCGCGCCGCTTGCCTTCGCTCACTGACGGATGCCAGGAAGTGCATTAGACAAAGACCTGGCTGATTCACCTCTCTCCCTCTCTCTCTCTGAGCGCGCCCGCCTCCCTCCTCCAGCTCCTCCCTCACTCTCTCCGCGGCCCCAGGTACGCACTCATTTCAGCCCGAGCCGCACACTCATTTCCTGATTACAAATGAGTGCGCCCCTCCGCCCCCTTAACTGCACCACCGTCATTTCAGTTTTTCACTTGTTTTCTGCAGTTGCTGTTGTGAAAAAACCTTGACTGAAATCACCACCGCTACACTCTATGAGCAGGCACGCATTACGCGTTGGCCTGCTTTCACTTTTTTGAATGTTTTAACTCAAATGGAAAAAAAAACAGATGAAGTTTTTAATGCAGGAATTAATAACTGTGGAAAGCTATTTGCAACCAATCACGCAGCCCTGGCCGTGGGGTCATGTGTGTCCAGTATTACCCCATGCCAGTCTCTGAGTTCTTATCAGTGTAAACAGAGGAACGAGGTCAGGTGCAGAAAAAGCAGCCATCCCAGGCCTAGATATGACCCTGCAAACTGAGTTTAAGCTGGCTTTGAAACGAGGAAGCATTTTAGTCTGGAAGAAATCGCTTAAACTACAGGCCTAGTTTTACGTTATCACCATTGTAGCTACCAAAGGTCCCTCAGTTGAACTATGCATTTTTTTCTTCAATAATATTGATGGAATGCATTTTGATGGAAGCTAACTGGATTTCTCTCTTCACAGGCGAGCAAAGCAAGCGTTTTTATTTCTTTAATGTATAATTTAAATGTCATTTCTATTATTGTGGCAGTTGTACATGATTTGTTGTATCAAGAAGGCTGCAGCTGTGCTGTTTTATCTCGGCACGGCCGTCTTTGAGAAGAGGTGTGCATTGTTTTCACAGCCCTCTGCTCTCACCCCTCATTGCTCACTAGCAGCTCAACAGAGTCGCACGTAAACGAGTATATTTTGACAATAAAAACACTATATAACATTAGAATAAGCATAAATACAGTAAAGCGTCACATCCTCTCTTGTTTTCTTGCTGTAGAGGTATTAATACAGTCATATGCAAAAGTTTGGGTACATGTTTTGTTGATTTTCTAAGTGAAAAATGTATCTGTGGATGCACATTTTAATTCATGGTTACTGTTTTTTTAGCATACAGGATAAAAAATAAACCATAAAATGTGGCCTGTGTAAAAGCTGTGATACATTTTATATTTTATATTTTTTCCAATATGTTATATATAGAAATTGTGCTCTAAAACTGCCATATTTACTCCTCTGTAGAGGATGTGTTGACTTTTTTCCTGCTTAGAATATCAACAAAACATGTTATTTGACCAGGTGGGAGGTTTAAACTATGGCATACAACTGTAAAATACAGTTAGATGAACACCAATTTGCACTTCAGTCAATTGTTATATTCTACCATTCTAACCCTGATTAGATAAACTAGGCATTAGATCATAAGTGTAAACACTGGAAACACTTTGGAAACGGTTAAGCCAACACACACACACGTATCCAATCACAATGTATTGTTTACTTGCTTATTTATATTTATTCTAACGTGAACAAACACTTACAGCCCAGATAAATGACTTTACATATCATTTATGTATCATGCACAGTAGTGTACATGTATAACGACACTGATTCCATGTCCAGTGAAATCCAGAGCCGCCCATTCAAAACGCTTTAATTTACATGCACAGCAGCAAGTAAAACAAGTTAGTCAAGCGTATTTCAGTTAGGCAGAAAGAAAAGGAGGACCGTTTTCGCCAGCAGGGCTTTGGATCAGGATACACGTTTCTGCAAAACCTCATCTTCCCTGCTGCCTGGAGTTGGACTGGGAAACTCATTTCTAAGCATGTGCCTTCACCATAGCATGCGCACTAATGTAGCGCTGGTTGGAGCAGAAAGCATTGTAAGCAGCATGAACCTGCAGTTTGTGGTGAGAGCCAGAGCTGGAAAGGCTTCTCCCTGCTATAAACCCATCCTTCACTGTGAGCAAACATGACCCTGAAATCAGCAGCCAGATAACATCCTGCAGCCGCACACACACGATCTGATAAAAGACACTGTGCATTCATTCATCAGATACAATACCACAGTGCACAGTTACGCTGCTGTGCCAGAAAAAAATACTGTATGCAACTGGAATGCAAACTGTGTAAGAAGCACGAATACAACTGTCACCTGTTTCCACCATTACTACCACCAAACGCCACAAGAGGGTATCAAAATATCCCAACTGAATGATGGAAAACAAACCCCTCACAGGAGATACACCACAAACAACGCCTTCGGCTGAGAGTCAGAACTGTGAAAGAGAAGCTGTAGCCCAGTGTAATTATGCAGCACGAGGTACAGCACTAATCTCATTCAAATACAATCAACTATCACGCTGCTATGGACTTGGCATGCCTCCTTGGTCTGAAAGGAAATTTTCAGTTCTAAAAGGAATCACAATTCTTTCTTGAAACGTCATCATCAGACTTTTGTCTGGCTCTGCATTTGTTTTACCGTCAAATAAACACTTGATTAAAGCTGCAGCTGCTCTTTCTCTCTACATTGAGAAAGAGTTTCATGATGAATGGATCAATAGAAATGGCCCAAAATGACTAAGAATAACATCTTTTTACGTTAACTGACATTGAGTTTAAGACTGTTCTAATACACGCACACACATTTTGTCCTCTTACCATTTTGGATGTACTTGTTTTTTTGTTTTTTTTACACTAATACTGATATATATATCTCATATTGTTGTCATTTTCACTTCATCATTTGTTTGTTGACTAATGGACCAATAGAAACGCACACTGACCTACATTGTAATAAAGAATGTTTTTGCCTTCTCCTGTAAATTTGCCATTTTCACGATCTTTTGTGGACATAATGTTTGCGATAATGTAACAAAACATTAAATATCTTATGAAATGACTGGAATATCAAATGCCAGGGTCACAGGAAGGAGTTCGAAGTTGGGTTTGCTTCACAGTGTGAATGATAACGTCATGCAAAATGATTTTCTTTTTTTCTTTTTTTTTTTGGGATAATTTTCATCAAGCAGAACGTATCATAATATGCTATAACGTGGTGAGAGACTGCAATATATACATATAACTCACACCTCAAGCGGCTGATGCAGACCCCGCTCACTCTGCTTTGAACAAACTTTATGCAAATAAGCTACGTAGCAACCAATCACATTGTTGATGTGTGGCACAGGAACCCACTGTGTCTCGCCCACAGCCACGCACTGAGATTCAACACAGAGTGTTGATAGAAAGGTTGATTTAAAAACATTGATGTATTCAAAGTGCAGGATATTACTACGGTAAAATATTTTTGGGGTTTAAAAAACAATATTAGGCTGCTCTGGAGCTCAGAACAGCTCAGCTGCTTGTGTTTTAACAATGAGCCCCAAAGTGGCCAGCGGTCGGTGGTGGAAGTGATTCAGGTCGCTGTAATGAAAATGTAACAGTGCACGTTTTGAAAATACATGAATGAAACCTGAAAATACAAACTGCGCTCTCAAACAAGCACATACAGGTCTTTATCGCATTCAAATCATTTTAAAGTTCTCCTCTTTTTTTGTGAATTATTATATTATATTATATTATATTATTATGTTGAACAGTCCTAAAATCTGAAGGTGCTGCCGCATCCTCAGCACCCCCACTTCCCCCATCCCTGTGCTTTGCTACACTAAATGTTTTGACACCTATTTTAGTGTGTTACCTTGCAGTGCTCTACAGTGCAGCTTTTCAATACCAGTCTTTTATTTTTAAATCAAATATTTCAGTACATTTTTGATGAAAAATAAAATGCTATGAGCTGTAACTGTATTAAATATGTAAAATAAAGAACAAAATGATTAAATAAAAATGTCATTTCATTATTTATTATTTCTATTTATTTATTATTTTCATTATTATTTATTATTATTTTTATTTTAGTGTAAACCAATTATATGAAAATAGGTCTGTAGACTTATCTAGTGCACAGAATCTAAGCTACATTTAAATATAACAGTACTTGTTAATGACAAACACCAGACAAAATCACAACATAGGCTCTAAAAATCATAAACCGAGATGCACTGAGAATCGTTTTATAATTGCATCTTGACACTCTGGACTGAAACTGAACCATGAATAATGGCATAACGAGCTGACATCCACTTAGTTACTTGGTTCCTATGTGATTGATGGATGTACTCTCCTGTTACTATGTCAACTGTGGTTGTTGTTTACAGATGCACCATAATTGGTCTAATTGTACCTTGGAAGTAGTGACAATACCCGTGCTATACCCTAAAATGATGTGATTTATCGCGATAATTCTAGTAAAAATTTATCGC